TTCCAACATCTCAGTCGTCTGGGGGATAGGCACAGATGAGCAGCAAAACCAGTTTTAATAGGGAAGTGAAATAATTTTGCCTGATAAGATATTAAAGTCTGAATTCCTGAACTGGAGGTCTGGGGTCACTTCAAAGGGATGCCCTGGTAAAGTGGACATTGCCATAGGCATGGGATTACAAAGACACAGATCCTGCATGAGTATTACCTCCATAATCTCATCCAGTGCAGATTTCTTCTTTTTCTCTTTGGACTGACCAGAGCTATGAGCCATTTCTTTTCTTTTAACTGCCCCTTCCACGATCTTCAGTGCATTCGGTCCAAGGACACTGCTGGAAGAGTAAGATGGTGTTTTCACAGCAGCCCTTATATTGTTTCCTCTACCAAGATGCATTTGAAGAACTGGTTGTGTAAAAAGGCCTGCTGATCTATTTAATTTCAGTTGTGCAAGTCACCTTCCAGACCCTGCATGCCTCCTTCTCTAGGACTGCATTTGGCAGCTATAACTGATCTCCTTGAGGTGCAAACTCCACGTCCTAGCAGTCCAGCAGAATGAAAACAACCCAACAATCAGGTCACCAGCGCAAAAGCAAAGTGTTGATCGGGGACTTGACTTCAACGGAGAAGACAAAAGCAGGTCTGCAAATAAGAGAAGCCACCTGGACAGATCAACTCTCAAACACGGTGGACATCTAGAATTCCTTTCAGACAGAGATACTTAACCTATCCGGCAATGGGAGAAAACACATGGGAATCTGTAGAAAAGGGCTCCACACCCAGCAAATAAGCACCATCTTCACAATCACATTCAAAATAGGCAAACAGCCTACGAGTTATGAAAGAAAAGAGCAATCAGCACAAAAAGTCACATCTTGGGGATCAGGGAACATCTAGGTGAAGTGAGAACTGCCTAAAGGCAGCTTGAGTTAAGCCATTTTTATAGAATACATTTGAATGCAGTAAAAAACGTAGGTGTTCTCTCATGCAGAAAGATGAAGAAGGCTGCTGTGAGGTGGACAGTAAGGTAACATTGATACGGCCTTACAACAAAACACATGTTCTGCCTGTGGTGAGAATGTTGGATGTACTAGCAAAGGGAAGATATGTAATGGCAATGAAGATATAGAAATAGCAGCAGAAGCAAAATTGAGACAAAAATTGTATTTCAGAGGACATCTGAGTAATCTCCATAGCAGAGTTCTAGAAGAAATAGCACATTAAATCACAAATCAAATAGCAAGTACTTAAAATAGCATCCCATAAAGGGTAACATAAAATTAAAGCATAACAGCTGCAGTGCCTATATTTAAGAAGGAAAACATATCTAGCTGTGAGGTTACTAAGGGATTCCCGGGTGTCAATACTAAATCAAATCTTATTTAAAATATTCATTAAGGACCCTGGGACAAAGAGCGAGAGACCACCAACACTGTTCAGGTGTGTCATCAATACAGAGGACACGAGAAAGAACTGGACACCAGTGGAAGGACTGGTTTATCTTGAAAACCGTATTTTAAAAAACAGAAAATTCAACAGCACATTATGCAAGCTCACATACTTTGGAAAAGTTTACTGTGATTACCTTCTATCTACTGGGAGCTGTTTAAGAACAACAAAAGCAGAAAGGAGTCTGGCTATAATCACAGATGACAGCTACCAGTGTGGACCAGTCATGAAAGAGCCAAATGCAATCCTAGGAAGCATCAGGACAGACAAGCATTAGTGCCTTGTATAAGCCATGGTGACGTTTCATTTGCAGCATGCACAAATTCCATCAGCTCCCCTGTTCAAGATTAACTGAAACTGGAACAAGGACAAGGAAGGGATATTCAGCAGATCAGAGGAATGGGGAGACGGGCCCAGCACTGTGCAGGCCGGCTTGTACAGCACAGGGAAGGCTGAGAGGCTAAAATTGTTCTCTACAAATAAGCAAACACCAGGGAGAAAAAGAACTATTTATGTTAAATGCCCACACCAACATGAGAGCAACTGGCATGAACTGGCTGTGACTACATTTACCTGTGAAACGACAGACAAGGTCCAATCCACCAAAGCAAACAGGTTTTGAAGGATCTTCCCTTGGGATTACAGGGCTGGGGAGACCCCAGCTGTATACAATGGAGGCTGATCAGTGCATGGACAGGACTGTACACTGGTACACTTGCAGAACTGCAGACAGGAGTCAGTGACCTTGATAACGGCTTCTGCTCATTCCTTCCTTAGAAGTAATTATAATCTTACTGGTCCACTGAGTGAGTTAAGCAGGGATTTGAGGACGTAAATTCTTGAGGGAAAAACGTAAGCCCAGGGCTCCCAGCTTGCTCAAGGGCAGTCAGCATCAGAAGCCATGCCCACAGTGGCAGCGGTGACTCCTATCTTCACATCAGCCACACGGACGTTCAACGGAAGGCGCACCTCCCCTCTCACTCCCCTTCTCAGCAAGGCTCCAACTCCACCTCTGTACCAAACTGCCAGTATCCCCATGCCCTCAGAACTCTACCATCCACTACGTACAATCTCCTGGTCCTATTTCCGCACCCTGCTCAGGAAATACAAGTGCCAGGTTTCTGTAGCCTGTGCTGTGAGCATAGAAGGTGGGAAGCCAGAAAGTCCTGCTGCATGCTGCGCTGGGGTTCTGGGCATCACATTGAACTCAACTGGTCCTCAGTAACAGCCAAGAGCTGCAGAACACACGTTTACGCTGACACAGGGAAGCAGTTTCCATTACAACTCTGAAGTGTTTCCTGTATCACCAGTGACATATAAACCACTGTCCGGTCACTTTACCATGAAGTGGGTATCCTAATTTTCATTCTACGCTACCATTACAAAGTTTACAGACAAGTATCTCTCATATGCTATGAAAAATTTAGACTACTTGAGATACGATTTCACATTCCGCCAGGTTTTAGCAAGCACCTTAAATATTCCTCACTGAAAGTACTCAAGTGAGTGAATTAAGTTTCAGACTCATCTGAAGTACAACTCAATGCTTAGGGATAATTTACAAGTTTTCCTCAAAGCCTGAAATCTGTATCTATTATTGCAAAGAACTACTTTATTGTCTCGTTTTCTGCCTGGCATATCTCCTATCAGATACCTTACCTAAGAGCTGAGCTCGTGATGAGAGAAAAGCTTTCGTTTTACCTGCAATACATTTAATTACAATATTGCCTCACATGAAAAGATGTACTGCTCATCAAACAGTTTCCAGACTGCTATAAGTCAGTACTGTTTGCATTACTGATCCCTTTTGTCCTGCGTTGCTTGTGCTTATATGATGACAATTAAATTCATGAGCTTTAGAAAGACTGGCATCAGGTAGATTCAGCTTCTTAAATGATGATCAGAGAAAGTATCACCTCCAATTAGACAAAGCAATCAAACCTTTCAGGAACCACAGTTAACAAGTCATGAACACCCATTCATAGAAGGCAGCTGGGACTAGATGGCCTTCACTTCAAATGCTTTGAATGGATCCCCTATCCACCCCTTCACGCAATCAGTATCTTCTTAGAGGAACCTATAAAAGCCTATTACTTTACAGGCCATGAACCATAGTGAATTCCAGAAGGCTCCTCACAACACACAGTTAATACCCATTCACCCATTTCAAATACAAAAGGAACCATGAAGTCACCTGGCATCCCCTCCTGAATAACATGACAGGATAAGATACCAGACTCCAAATACTTGAGGACAAGACACATCTTCCTGCCCATACAAATATCATTGTCATATAAGTGCTTTGCAACAGTAAAGGTTGCCCTTAAATTCTTTTCTCACCTTGTTTTAGAAGATGCTGCTATTGAAGTACTTGCTCCTTTGTTTAAATTAAATGTAACTAAAAAATAAAAAGACATTACTCTATTTCTATCTTTAAAAATAACTGCATTGAAGGACGTTACAATTTTAAAAATCTGCAAATGGAAAGATCATAAATTTGAAAATATTTACTAATCTACGTTTTGGTTCAGCTATTAAAATAAATTACTTTAAACTTTATAAGAAAGAATACTCTGCATTTCCATGTTCGTTGCTCTTTATAACTGATCTCAAAGCACTTTATGAAGCACCGAGCAGGCCTCAGCGCTCATCTCATTTTAATCACAACATCAGCTGCAGTAGGCTCTAGAAAATTACATGTAGCAAAACCTCGTTACCTTTTTCTTCTTCATTTTCTCTGTTCAGTTCAGTGTAGACTGGTTTTTCCTGCCAAAAGAACACAAAACACATTTCAAGAGTCAAAGAGAAAACTGAGCCAAGACACCATTTTTTGGTGATCATTGATTAGCTCAGTTTTACAGACTACTGCCAGATTATTACAAATAACTGTAATATCCAGCCTGGCTTGATTCATAGAAGATTATAAATTGAAAACATTATCTCGCTACAGGCTCCTGTGCAAAATTCTCTAATTAACACTCTCTACAGAGATGTTGTCTAAACTTGCTTGATTACAGCATGAAAGGGAAGTGGCCTTACTGTAACAGTTTTCTCTACTTGAACCAGCATGACTAGACTGGTTTCTGGACAGACTGATAACTCAAAGAAGGAAATTCTGGAATCTTTCCAGATTTCTAGCACCGAAGGCTCAGACCATTTAAATTTCAATTAGTTTTAAATTAAGAAAAAGATAATTGTTTACAACAGCATTTAAATGTACCTATCAATACGCAGGATCAAATGGGAGGTGCCGGTCCCAGGCAAAAACATGTATGGAAGTCATGGAATGACACCAAATAAACAGATCCCAAATACCACACCAGCACTATCAAAATAAAACTTTTCACTATGCGGATTTCATTAGGTCAGCCTCCCCTCCCCAGTTAATTATCTCAGCCTCCCCACTGTACAAGGTGCTTGTTATTTGCAGCCCTAAAAGTTGTGAAATACCATAAATGAAGACACGTCGTGCTGGTTACTGTATTGCTTACTCTCCCTTCCTACATTCAAGAGTGATTTTTAAATCACTGATCATTGAAGAGCAGTAATTGTTACTCCTTTAGTACTAAAGCAAGCCAGGTACAAAGTAATTCCAACTTTTCCTCCAGAGCAGGTCATAATCTAAGGTAACTGTATAGCAGAAAATTCAGAACACAAGTGAGCCAATGTGGTGATTCAAGTATGGAATAAAACGTCTAAATCAAAGTCTGCAATGGCCAGGATCAGACACTAGGGCCAAGGATACAATTCTAGTTGATTTCAAAATCACATCAAATTTAAAAGGAGATGAAACCTCTGCTTTTATTTATTTTTTTAATGATTTTTTTTTAACTATTTATTTATTTATTTATCCACAGAGGACCTTGATATTCATCCACTGTAAAAACCACCAGCAAGTCAGTTAGTCAAGGAAATGTAACAAGCTGCAGTTTCAACTGAAACAAGCTGGTTAAGGCTGCTATCAGAAGTATCTGGGAGAAGACTATTCCTTGTGGCATAGAAAAGAACAGCAATGCAGCCAAATATGCCCACTGTTCCCCAGTTTGAACTGGTGATGAGCTTGTAACCTGTAGCATGAAGCTTACTCATCACCATCTAACTTACTGCAAAGGAAATACCAGCGCAAGGATCCCAGCAGCATGGAATTCACCATTAACTTCACCAAGAGAAGTTTTGAGCTGAAGGCTGACATACAGTGCAATTTTCCTCACCAGTTCTTTCCCCTCCAGACCTCTTCTAACTTGCTGTTCAATGAATTTAGCAGTTTTTTCTTCATCATCAAGGTCCTGTTTCTTCTTCCTCTCTTGTTCTTGCTGCCTGCGAATAGTCTCTGGGTCCCGATCAATATATTGAATATACCAGCCTTTTGGAGTCTCATCGACCTTGCAAAGACCTAGAAAGTCAACGCAAGATAAAGTAAGATTAATACTCATAAAAGCAAGCAAGGGACAACGAAAATATTAAGCTAATTTTCGCAGTCTGTGTTCGCTATAACAATGTAGATAATTTACCATAGACAACATACCCCTTACTGGCCTGGTAAAATTTGAATTATCGTTATTACCTGCTTCTGCCCTTCAGCTAGCCGGTTCTATTTGGAAAGAGGCCAGAGTACATAATAAAGTGAAGTGCTTTATAATACTTTCCTTATTGAAGAAAATGTTTCCTTCCCACTGTTTCAAACAAAGAAGAAAACAGAAGTCTAGCATATATAAACAATACAGACTAAAGGAAACTTTTCTACGCCATTCTATTGTTACTAACTCTCGCTAGAGTGACTTTTCAAACACTCTATGACTCATGAACGTATCCTGCAGGACGCAGGCAATCGGAGCCAAAGTAAGCTTTCTGTTGTACCACAGTGCCATTTAATCTCTCTTCCTCCTACTGAACACAAAACTGCAAATCTCAAGCTTTAACCCCTTCACTAGGCCAGGAATGAAAATGACTCTCGCTTCCTGTCACCTTAAACATGGAAGGATTCTGTAGTCATAAGAAATATTCTATCATAGTTTTTAATTTTAAATGGCAGCTGTTGGAAGCTGATTTAGAATTTAGCAATACCTCCAGTAAACATAGACCAACAGATGAAACAAGGAGAGGTTCATGATTGATGCATTTATCCCAGACTTCTGACATTCTTCATAAGCAAATTCCTAATGGTTAGCACAGACATATTTGGACATCTGTTAATATATATACAGGAGGGGAAGGGAAGGGAGGAAAGAAAAAGGAAATGGGAGAACTAACGTAAATGTTTACTGATTACTTATCAGCAATGCAACTACCCAATAATGTTAAAACTTCCCAATCCTGAGCAACTACATTTACCTTCTCTCCCCAGCCATTTAGTAAAATCAGTCAGTGTCTCCCACTGTGTGGCATTCATGTGGATGTGTTCTCGATGACTGATATATTCATTGTACACAATATTATTGTGGACTCTTTTTGTTCCTGAAATACAGAATTATTGTTGTTATTATTATTATTATTAATACAGGACCTAGGAGAAAGCAACCAAAACTTCTTGCACCGAACTAATAAAAGACATTAAAAACAAACAAACAAGCAAACCAACAGTAAAATACGTACCAAATCGCCTCCTGAGCAGTTCTAGGAAATCATTTCGGAACTCCCTCAGGGGATAAAAAGAAAGCATTTTAGTAAAACTTCCATGATTACAAAGCAATTTTCTATTGTCATTAACAATGAAGTATTTGCAGTATAAAAATTAGTATTCTTTTGAACTGAGCATAATGAAATTCAGACACTCGTTTCCCTTTTTCAGTAAAGTAGTAGTAAATGCAGCACATATGCACAAAGAAACACAATATGGTACCTGCACATACAAGTTAAATCTCCAGAAGGGGAATACCCTTTCTAAAGGGATAAAATGGAAAGAACGAAATCTAAACACTTCCCCCTAATTGCTGGTATTTCATTACCAGGTATCTTCCCAGGTTGACTGCCACAAAACACACGGCAGGACAAAGGGCAGCAGTGGCAGACGGGGTAGATTGATCACTCATCTCACTGCTAATTCAAGGGTTTGAGTACAAAGCCTCAGACTTGTGCTGAAGACAGCTACAGTCAACCCAGCTGTCATGCAGGCCAGCTGGACAAAGGGCTGGGGGAAACTGTGGGACGTTTGTCACACCCCCGACTTGTTACCTCTCTGTAATGGTTCTTTTAGCTCTTTGTAACTCCGCGTGCGTGGCAGTCACTTAGTCGGGGCAGAATGGTGACATTCTTTGTAACAGAGCAACTTAAAACAGGACTCAGACACGAGATAGAACTGGTAAATTTGACTAAACGTCATGGCTCCCTGCAACCTTTTACATGCATTCAAAAGTGACGTTGCCTAAATTTTCAAATTGCCATTAAAAAAAGAGCTGACACTAAAATGTATCAAAATAAAGTGTCTTCAATGGGACACAACTGGGCCTTAAAGGTATGGCTAGGCAGATCTGATACGGGATTGAAGATCTGGGTAAGAACATGTAGCAAACTTACTCAGAAAAGTAATCCATGAATTGCTGAGGATTTTCAGAAGCCAGCAGCAATTGCCTCTGGTGGGACTCAGACATGCAATGACATTTGAAGCCATTCTATAGAATAAAAATAAATACGTTGTCTGTCTTTGTCTCAATTTGCAACACTTGCACAGCTGAAGAGTATTAAAAATAACATTTCATAAGTTAAATTTCCTGGAGGCTCAGAAAACACCTTAACATAGCAATAGCCTACACGGGGTAGTTGTTCCTCCTGACTGGGCAAGCCAGAAACAAAACTCTTCCCAAGGGCAAGAGCCTTAGGACAAACTGTGAAAGGGGTTACGAGACACGACATTCCAGCAGTCCTCTTCCTCCCCTGTGGAATGGGATAGATGTGGCACCACCCAGGTCCACCCATCCAGGTGCTTGTGCAAGAGCACTGGAGATGTTTGCTGACCCCCTACCTGACCAAGACTGATGCCAAATGTGTGTAAGGAGGGGATGGTGTCCTGGGAGTGCTCAAGCTATGGACTGTGACAGTTTGGCCACCTCTGACATAGGGTTGCAGTCATGAGAGCACCCCAAAAAGCACCCAGACATAGGACATTTGAGTGCATCCCTTTTTTTGTCTGATATAATGCTCTCTCATCACAATATGATTAAATCTACAGCAAATATCATTCCATGGGAGCTCCGTCACCCCCTTACAAAAAGATCTGGTTGTAACACAGTAAATCTTTTTTGCTTGTAGTCACTGGGAAGAGAACAGGCTTTGAGCTTCCTGGGTGAAAGGGAGACGGGGGCAGAAACAGCTGAAGAATGAGACAATTAAATATCCACAGGACACTTTACTTCTCCAAAGAACTTTAAAGAGGCTATTCACAAAGAATGGAAAACTAAGAGCACAGTTAGCCCCAGTGGAGGTACTTTTGGAGCACAAGTCTGACGGAAATTGCGAAGAAGAGGACAACCACATCCCATGGGCATCTGGGTCCAAGTAAACAGACAAGTGAAAAGAAGCAGGGGAAGCTTCAGAGAGGCAAAGCACCTCTTTGTAACAGCAAAAGGGAAGAAACTGAGCCAGAATCAGAAGGAAGGAGCCCTCAGCACAGCACAGACATGGACCTGTTGGAGCGAGTCCAGAGGCGGCCACAAAAATGATCAGAAAGCTGGAAACATTCAAGGCCAGGTTGGATGGGGCTCTGAGCCACCTGATCTCGTTGAAGATGTCCCTGCTCATTGCAGGGGGGTTGGACTGGATGGCCTTTAAAGGTCCCTTTCAACCCGAACCATTCCATGATTCTATGAAAAGAGACCTCACAGTACTCCAGAGGTGCATCCCTTGGGCACGTTGCTGCACCACCCCGTCCCCACCCTGCACCCACAACACCCTGTCCCCAAGGGCCAGCAACTCCCCTCTAAGGTGGATGGGAGCCACCTAACTCTTAACCCCATTGACCTCTCAAGGTGTGCATAAGGGAATAACCCCTCCAGGGGAGTTGGGGCCACCTGTGCTCCCTCTCATCCTGGGTTGATCAGTCACTCTTGCAGGGGACTGAACGTGTCCAAAGATGGATCAGGGCCAACAGGCTTTCTCTGAAGTGTATAAGGACTTGTCCCATGGAGGACTGCCCCACCCCCAAGAACCAGAAACCCTCCAGGTCCCACCAATCTGCCCCCAAGGGGACCGTGATCCATACAAGAGGGACTGGGGACCCCCAACAGAGCATAAGGGTCCCCTGTAACACTCCCCTAAAAAGTCAGGGCTCCCCATGTTCCCAGCAAGTGAGGCCAGTATGCTCCCTAGAAGGATCGCACCCCACAGATGGGATCAGAGGCCCCACAAGGAGACTGGGGACACTTATGAGGGGAATTTGGGCCAGCCCTCTACCCCCACCAAGGGAACTGGGGAACCCTACGAGGTCACATACCCCCTAAGGCGATCGCAGCCCCCCGCAAGAGGGCTGGGGACCGCAGCAAGGGCGATCGGAGCCCCCCCCCCCCAATCCGTGTTCCCCTCAATGGCCCTGAGCACTCTTACAAAGGGGGACCGGAGCCCCCGCAAGGGAACCGAGGACCCCAACCGCGGG